AATCTTAAATTTTAAGTAATATGCATCAATAAACAATACTTCGTGCATAAAAAATTGTTTTTAAGAGTTTTTGTCAAATGTTTTATAATATAGTATATATAGTATAGATTATGTGTTTTAAAAAAAACAATAATGATAGTATAGATATAGATATTGAGTGCATAAATCTATGTACTTTTCTATCTAAAAGAAGAATAAGATCTCAAACTATAACCAAATTGAGTTTTTTTAATTATTTATAAGATTGATGATTTTAAAAAAGTTTGTTTTAACTTTAACACCATGTTTTTGGGTCTACTTTTACGAAGGAAAGAAAGAAAAATAAGAGGGAAAGAAAAATATTATGTTCTCGAGATTTTTTTAAGAAAAGGAAAAGAAACGAAAGAAAAAAAAAAAGATTTTATTTCAAAAATTATTTTTATTTCATTCTTTTTCCTTTCTCTCTCTTCTCTATCAAAAACATAAATAAAAAAACTTTATTTATTTTCCTTTCCTTTCTTTTATTTTTCTTTTCCTTTCTCATTCTTTTCTTTCCTTTCAAAATTCGAGAACATAGTATAAAAGTTTAAAATGGTGTTAACAAACATTAACATTATGTGACATGGAAAACTAACCTATTTACATTGATTTGCATAGTGTTACTAGAAAATTAGAAAAATTAACATTGTGATCCCAAATGATATCATTCTACGTACCAAAAATATATCATAGGATGTTTTGTTGATGGAACAAATTGATGATGCTACATAAAAATGTTCTAGTACATAATATTAATTTAGAAATGATTATTGATTTTGCGTCTAGAAATACTAGAAAAAACGGTTTTATATGAATTTAATGTTATTTCTGATGATAAAAACAATATATTGACAAAAAAAAAATCGTACTCAACGAGGGCCTATTTTCACATCTCGCCCAGGACCTAAAAAATGTCAGGAACGAACCTGCTTACGGATTATATTTTTTTGGTGAAGTGTACCCTTAAATGCCCTCACATGTGAGGGGCACATGATTGGAGTTGCTTAGAAAAAAGATGAATGGGGATTAAAACTAAAACAAAACATGTATACTTTCTTTCTAATGTAGCAATGTATTTTAATTTTGTTTATTTTGTTCAATATATTAACATCATCTTATGCAAAACATAAACACATAGTTCCTTAATAATTACATTTTATATTTTAATTGTCGTATTGTATCATAACGGTTAAATCAGTTTTAGATTTGATAAAACAAAAAAATTGATTCCAAATATACGTATATGAAAATATGTTGCTATTTTTTATGTTAAAATATATATTACCTAGAATATGTTGCTTATAAAAATCATTTATTTTTAGCAATTATGTATTCTGTTTTGATATGTTATATCTAGAAATTTTCTTACCATGTGTTATTTTTTATCCAATTAATGAATGAGTTTATGCAAAACATTTCTTTTATATGAATGAGAGAAATGGGATAGGTTCTAGTGAGAAGAAAAGTTAAGATGAGAAACGTAAAAAGAGATTTCTACCCTTGGATGCACATTAGGATGAGATGCATCGGGTCAATTCCTGTATCAAGAACGATTCATGGGTGGATTTGAGATTAAAGGTGATCAAGTATCAAGATCTCTACGCTTTTCACACGATCCTTTACCTTAGAAAAATTCTTAAGTATGCTAGTAGTAGACATAGGTCTTAAGCACATTTAAGATCTAAATTTGATTGTTAGAGGAAGACACCCGGCGAGGGTCAAGACAACAAGCTACCGATAATCGGCACATAAAGAACATCAAAATCCAAAATTACGAGCTAAACTTGAAGGTTTATTTGGATGATTGTTGCATAATCTATTGGATGTGTCAATGCCCAAAATTGCAAAAGTTTGATGGAAAAGATACCAAAGTTGACAGAAGCCGAAAATGAGTCTCTTGGATGTTGAGTGATGCCCAAACTCGTGACATGAAAAGATAAAAAAAATATCTAGAAAACCCAAACGAGGGTATTAATATGACTAATGTTATATATGTTAAAAAACTAAACGTCTTTGAAAAATCATTTTATTACAAATATACACACAAGAAAGAACTAGAATACATATTATAACCTTTTGAGTTTAACTAAATCTAAACTACATAAGAACAATGCAAATCTGTATACAAAGAAAACGTAGAGAGAGAGAGATGATAGTGAGAGAGAGAATGAGAGCTAAAGAGAGCTCTCTTGAAAATGAATCGAGAATATGAGAGAATGAGAGCTAAAGAGAGCTATCTTGAAAGTGAATTGAGAATATGAGCCGGATTATCAATTTAGAGGGTTTTTTTTTTTAGAATTAGCAACTTTAGTCCTTGAAGAATCCAATTCCAGACTCCGCTATCCTATGAATATTCCCATAAGTGAGGTGCAGTCCCTCTTCTTTTCAAACACCAAGACTTTTCACATTTAGCATTTTCTACCCCAACCTGTTAACATTCTATCAAAATAAGGACAAAAGAGTTAAGTTAGTCAAGATTGGAATAAAGATACA